GCCCCCCTGGCAAAAAATTTATTTATACTACCTTCAACTGACCGCCAAGGTGTTGCTGAGGCGGCAGTGGAGCCGATTTCTCGGCACTTAATGCTGAATTCGAGACTCTTTAACAGGTTAGTTATTATTGGCGAACTTCATAGAGCGGTCAGAGAACTGAACGCCAGACTTATTAATTGTAAAAACGGACAAGAAATAATTGAAACATACAACGCGTTCATGAAAAATGTAGACCAAAACTTCAACTTAAGGAACTGAATTCAATTCTAGGGACAAACATAAACTCAAAATTTGTTTTTACAATGCAAATGGGATGCGTACAAGAACAGCACTTGTCCGCAGCTTCATTCATAAATATAATTTCGACATCGTACTTATTACGGAGACGCATTACAAACAAACTGACAAAATTAAAATACATAGGTACGACACCATCCGACATGACAGACCGGAACAGTCATGGGGTGGTGTAGCTTTCTTTATTAAATCTAATATTACTTATCAGCAACTTACAAATTTAAATATAAGTGAAGATCACTTAATAATAAAAATCAATCAAATTATTTTTGTAGGATTTTACAATCCTCCATCAAATACACTAAAACAAATTGAAATTAATAAAATAATGATGTCAGGTAATAGAGTTCTTTTACTGGGTGACCTAAATGCCAAACATCCACACTGGGATTCTTACTGTACGGTTCCAAACTTAAGTGGTAAAAATTTGAATAATTTCGCCGAAGGCAACGACGTAATTATCCACTACCCTAAAGACCCTACTCACTTCCTTTCATGTCCTACCCACCTTCCTAGCACCCTTGACATTGCGGCTGCCAAAAATATACCTAACATCGAAAAAACAAGGACAATCAAGACACTTACATCTGATCACGACCCTGTATACATGGAAATTAGGACAACATGCCCGATTCCCAGGTTGCAGGGTCGTTATTATGACTACAAAACTACAAACTGGACAAAATACAGGACAATACTGGACAATAACCTAACAATCAACAACAACATTACGGACAAAAATTCTCTTGAGGAAGAATTAAAAATTCTAAATGCAGCAATAATAAAAGCTAGAGATGCCTCTACTAAAATAATTACACTCAAACAGTATAAGGATGATCTTCCTCAAGAGATTTTAGACTTAATCACTAACAAAAATAACATACGCAAACGTTGGCAGTCGCATAGACAGGTCGCGGATAGGGTAATGTTTCAAGAGCTTGGTAAAGCGATTAACAGACAAATCAATGAATATAGAAATCAACAATGGCGCAGAACCCTAGAAGCGATCAACGTACGTAACAATTCAGTATGGAAAACTGTGAGACGTTTCCGAAAACCGTTCTCGCAGCTTCCCATACTGAAACAATATGACAATACTTACATTACTGACGAACACAAATGTACTGCCTTCGGCGAATTTTTCCAATCAAACTTTGTCAATACGCAAATAAACAACAATGAACAAAATGAAATTGAGAAAATTGTCCAACAAATTAAAAACTTGCCAACACAAGAGGTAACGCAAGAACTTTTAACATCTCCTAAGGAGATCATCGAAATTGTTAAAAAAACTCCCAGTAAAAGAGCTCCAGGGCCTGACAACATACATAACAAGCTTTTAAAAAACCTTTCTAAAAAGGCATTTGTGCATATGCATTATATTATAAATGCAATTATTAAATTACAATGGTATCCGGACACATTAAAAGTTGCTAATGTGGTACCGATACACAAACAAGGTAAAAAGATCTGATATTGAGAGCTACCGCCCCATATCTCTTCTTAGTGGCATCGCCAAAATCACAGATCGTGTCCTGCTCACGAGGCTACATACATATGAACAGGACAATCCGATTATTCCGTCAGAACAGTACGGTTTCAAAGCTGGACACAGTACGGTTGCACAAGTACTACGCATCGCACACCATGCCAAAAAGGCAATGAACTTAAATAAACAAACAGTACTTGTAGCACCCGATGCTGCGAAGGCGTTTGACACCGTCTGGACTGATGGGTTAATCTACAAAATGTTCATGAATGATTACCCTGTTTCCATTGTAAAAACAATTCAAACATACTTACTTAACCGTAAATTCTACGTTAAAATCAATAACTCCAGACAAGGACCTTACACAGCGCATGCGGGAGTACCCCAAGGTTCGGTACTTGCGCCGCATCTGTATACTATCATGACTCATGATTTTCCCATGGGACATAATGGTATACAGACGGCTTTGTACGCCGACGACACCTGTGTGTTCAAAACATCACAATCTGCTGAAACAGCGACCAGAAGGCTGGACATTCATGTACACCGAACGCTAGTCCCCTATTTACGAGATAATAAAATTAAAATTAACCCCACTAAAACAGAGTCACTCATTCTTACTCACAGACGACATGAGGGCATTATTACTAAACTAAAAGTGCAAGGCAAAGAAATCGAAACCAAAAACGAAATGAAATATCTCGGTTTCATTCTAGATAGGAGGCTGACGTTCGGAAAACATAAATAATAAACTCTCACTGGCCACATAAGCACTAAAGGCTTTATATCCGATACTACATAGGAGAAGTGGTGCTACCACAGAAAACAAACTTTTAATTTATCGACAAATTATAAGGCCAATACTAACGTATGGAAGTCCAGTCTTCTGTTCGATGGAAAATTCACACTTCACTAAAATGCAGAGAATGCAAAACAGGTGTCTTCGACTGGCATTGGGGTATGACCGTTATGCCAGAATTCAAGATATGCACGTGCAAACATCTATGGAGACTATTAGAGATCACATTCTACGTCTCTCTGAGACATTTTACGACAAATGCTTACCACCGGAGCTTAAAAATGATATTATATCGATACATCAGGGTGATGGTGCTACTAGGATCCATGGTTGTTTGCATAGTGCACTTAAGATCTATACAAATCACGGATAAAAATATTATAAATTCAACATAAGACATACATCCTCCTTAGCAGCGAAAACCCCACTGAATACTCAAATTACAACGTCTACTAGTTAGCAACTTTGGTCGGACGGACGACTGCACGGTGACGTCACTGCCCGGTATGAAAATTCGTAGCTTGCTTCGATTTTTGTATTAGGCGGTGGTGATGCTGTGTAGTCTTGTAATTTGAACATTCATGCACTAAACTTCCACAAGACGCACTTACATACAAGGACAACCCTGTTTTTTACATACGGTTTTTTCAGGGAAGCACATACATAATTAAATTCATACAAAAACCCACCACTTTCCCATTACCGATCTAGTAAGAATGCCAATATTAACTTATAATATCGTGATACGATAAGGAGAAGTTACTAATCCACAAATATTTAATAGCAACAATGATTTGCACGGCCTTGACATCGGCCATGGTCTAACTCTGTTTTAGGGCATCATAGAAGTGAACACTTCCAGAAGTCTTTAGGAAGAAATCCTTTTATAATAATGTAAATAATTGTGTTATAAAAACTCTGCATCTGTATATATTGTAAATAAAGTTTTGAAAGAGTAAAACCAAATTTGGTAGATTTTCACACTTTTATTTTAAAAATAAAAATTTTTAAACAAACACTAACATGACATATGTTTCGAAGTACAACTTCTTTTTCAAATGTGACTATTTACAATTCGGTATCCAATATATATACAAAATAATTTAACAAAACAAAGTACTTAAGAAAACATCAATAACATTACAAAATAAACTAACTATTTAAAGTAAATAAGGGTACTTAGGTAATTATAATATCCATCAAATAACAATAAGATAGCCCATTACCGGGATTATCTCACAGAAAACTGGGAAAGAGGTTTAATAAGGGTGCATTATTAATATCTAATTGATCATTTAGTAAGTTATCTGAATTTTTAAATCTACTTACTCAAATCATATTTTAGCTGAAAATCATTCTTTTACAGACAACTTTGAAATTTTACATGTAGAAAATAAGAGCCTTAAATTAAACCATTTAGAAACACTTGAAATAAATAGATTTAAAAATTCAGATAACTTACTAAATGATCAATTAGATATTAATAATTCACCCTTATTAAACCTCTTTCCCAGTTTTCTGTGAGATAATCCCGGTAATGGGCTATCTTATTGTTATTTGATTGATATTATAATTACCTAAGTACCCTTATTTACTTTAAATAGTTAGTTTATTTTGTAATGTTATTGATGTTTTCTTCAGTACTTTGTTTTGTTAAATTATTTTGTATATATATTGGATACCGAATTGTAAATAGTCACATTTGAAAAAGAAGTTGTACTTCGAAACATATGTCATGTTAGTGTTTGTTTAAAAATTTTTATTTTTAAAATAAAAGTGTGAAAATCTACCAAATTTGGTTTTACTCTTTCAAAATTAAATGGATTTTCATCAAGTAAAGGCCGAAACAATAAATAATGTAAATAAAGTTATTTTGAAAACAACAACCCAGAACAACATCGAATAGAAAACCTAGTTAAAAACAGATACAACAATTCAACACCTATGGCCATCAGCCAAGGGGATCTTACCTCCCCAAAAGAAATATTCGACATACTGTGTGGGCTAACCAGAAAGAAGGCTCCCGGCCCCGATGGTATCAGTAATATTTTACTAAATACTGTTAAATGGCTTAGCCAAAATTGCCGATCGTGTCTTATTAACTCGACTACATACAGAGTTTACCTTTGGACTTGCCAAAGGAAGGTTTGCCGAAATTTTGTACAGCTCTCGTAGTACGAATTTACGACACCAGGTTATTAACCTATAAAATATCAAATTTCCCTTAATAATCGCTCGAACAAGCCAGGTAGTATAGTTATCAACCCCCAGAAAGGAGTTCACGCTCCATGGTAGAGCCCTCCGGGGCAAGCAAACAAAATTTAGCGGAATATCCCACCATATACTCCAAAAGATAGCGAATTAGATGGAAACACACAGAAGCTCTAAGGAACATCTCTAAAATAAAAACTCCAGAGCATATAAAAGCCAAAACCAGAAGACAGATAAATCTCACAGTAAGTAAAGCTACTTTAGTGGGACTAACATCCATAAACTCTGAACTGAGTAGCCCTGAACTCGGTGAATCTTCATCCCAATCTTCAAATAATGCTGCAAAGATAGACACAAATGCACCAGACATTGGCACTAGGACATCCACTGACTGTAATCCAACTTCCATTACTAATACTGACATTCCAGCCACAGTGCAACATAAAATAAACAATTTCCACACTGATTACACAACATCTGAAGATGAAAGGGGTGCAAGAGGACATCTTCCAGTAGGTGATTGGTACCTACCCACTTCGCCTAACAGCTCATGGAATCTGAGGGAAAATTCTAAGCAAACCCAAAACATGGAAATAGATAAACCTCAAGAACAAAATAAACAACACGACCTGCCTTTTCAAACGCCCAGGAAATTCAGTTCGAATTTTCAAAGGCTAATCAGAGAAAAAACCAAGCAGACAATGACCTCCACCAGTAACAAGTACTTACCACTCTCTGATGAGTCAGATTCCGACCTAGATGACGAGATCGGTAAAATAGTGAAGAGGAAAAGGAAAAACACGCCGAAAGACGGCAACACAGCCAGTAAAAACTCAGAAAACCAGCCAACACAAACCACAGCCCCAGCAACTACCAAAAAGGCCCCACAAAATAAAACTACCCCAGCCAACAACCCGAAAAAACCAACAATGCCCCGAATTGTTGTGGATGGGAAAACCGTCAATCAGTCTGCGCTGATACAAGATCTAAAAGCAAAAGTTAAGGGTAGTTTTAGCGTAAAACACACTAATAATTCTACAAAATTAAAATACATAGGTACGACACCATCCGACATGACAGACCGGAACAGTCATGGGGTGGTGTAGCTTTCTTTATTAAATCTAATATTACTTATCAGCAACTTACAAATTTAAATATAAGTGAAGATCACTTAATAATAAAAATCAATCAAATTATTTTTGTAGGATTTTACAATCCTCCATCAAATACACTAAAACAAATTGAAATTAATAAAATAATGATGTCAGGTAATAGAGTTCTTTTACTGGGTGACCTAAATGCCAAACATCCACACTGGGATTCTTACTGTACGGTTCCAAACTTAAGTGGTAAAAATTTGAATAATTTCGCCGAAGGCAACGACGTAATTATCCACTACCCTGAAGACCCTACTCACTTTCTTTCATGTCCTACCCACCTTCCTAGCACCCTTGACATTGCGGCTGCCAAAAATATACCTAACATCGAAAAAACAAGGACAATCAAGACACTTACATCTGATCACGACCCTGTATACATGGAAATTAGGACAACATGCCCGATTCCCAGGTTGCAGGGTCGTTATTATGACTACAAAACTACAAACTGGACAAAATACAGGACAATACTGGACAATAACCTAACAATCAACAACAACATTACGGACAAAAATTCTCTTGAGGAAGAATTAAAAATTCTAAATGCAGCAATAATAAAAGCTAGAGATGCCTCTACTAAAATAATTACACTCAAACAGTATAAGGATGATCTTCCTCAAGAGATTTTAGACTTAATCACTAACAAAAATAACATACGCAAACGTTGGCAGTCGCATAGACAGGTTGCGGATAGGGTAATGTTTCAAGAGCTTGGTAAAGCGATTAACAGACAAATCAATGAATATAGAAATCAACAATGGCGCAGAACCCTAGAAGCGATCAACGTACGTAACAATTCAGTATGGAAAACTGTGAGACGATTCCGAAAACCGTTCTCGCAGCTTCCCATACTGAAACAATATGACAATACTTACATTACTGACGAACACAAATGTACTGCCTTCGGCGAATTTTTCCAATCAAACTTTGTCAATACGCAAATAAACAACAATGAACAAAATGAAATTGAGAAAATTGTCCAACAAATTAAAAACTTGCCAACACAAGAGGTAACGCAAGAACTTTTAACATCTCCTAAGGAGATCATCGAAATTGTTAAAAAAACTCCCAGTAAAAGAGCTCCAGGGCCTGACAACATACATAACAAGCTTTTAAAAAACCTTTCTAAAAAGGCATTTGTGCATATGCATTATATTATAAATGCAATTATTAAATTACAATGGTATCCGGACACATTAAAAGTTGCTAATGTGGTACCGATACACAAACAAGGTAAAAAGATCTGATATTGAGAGCTACCGCCCCATATCTCTTCTTAGTGGCATCGCCAAAATCACAGATCGTGTCCTGCTCACGAGGCTACATACATATGAACAGGACAATCCGATTATTCCGTCAGAACAGTACGGTTTCAAAGCTGGACACACTACGGTTGCACAAGTACTACGCATCGCACACCATGCCAAAAAGGCAATGAACTTAAATAAACAAACAGTACTTGTAGCACTCGATGCTGCGAAGGCGTTTGACACCGTCTGGACTGATGGGTTAATCTACAAAATGTTCATGAATGATTACCCTGTTTCCATTGTAAAAACAATTCAAACATACTTACTTAACCGTAAATTCTACGTTAAAATCAATAACTCCAGACAAGGACCTTACACAGCGCATGCGGGAGTACCCCAAGGTTCGGTACTTGCGCCGCATCTGTATACTATCATGACTCATGATTTTCCCATGGGACATAATGGTATACAGACGGCTTTGTACGCCGACGACACCTGTGTGTTCAAAACATCACAATCTGCTGAAACAGCGACCAGAAGGCTGGACATTCATGTACACCGAACGCTAGTCCCCTATTTACGAGATAATAAAATTAAAATTAACCCCACTAAAACAGAGTCACTCATTCTTACTCACAGACGACATGAGGGCATTATTACTAAACTAAAAGTGCAAGGCAAAGAAATCGAAACAAAAAACGAAATGAAATATCTCGGTTTCATTCTAGATAGGAGGCTGACGTTCGGAAAACATAAATAATAAACTCTCACTGGCCACATAAGCACTAAAGGCTTTATATCCGATACTACATAGGAGAAGTGGTGCTACCACAGAAAACAAACTTTTAATTTATCGACAAATTATAAGGCCAATACTAACGTATGGAAGTCCAGTCTTCTGTTCGATGGAAAATTCACACTTCACTAAAATGCAGAGAATGCAAAACAGGTGTCTTCGACTGGCATTGGGGTATGACCGTTATGCCAGAATTCAAGATATGCACGTGCAAACATCTATGGAGACTATTAGAGATCACATTCTACGTCTCTCTGAGACATTTTACGACAAATGCTTACCACCGGAGCTTTTTTTTCAGTTTACCTAGGACTCTCCTAGGCGTCGTTTGCAGTGAGAGCGTTTAATTCTCGAAGTAGCTAACGTCAGTTGTCACTTGTCATTAAAAACCAGTATTTGTAACTTTCCCCATATCATTTTTTCACCCAGCGCCAGTGTAAGTACGTAACCTAGAGGGTTCTCGGCACATGTCCGAGCCCAATCGGGCCCCCACAACGCCCAAGGGCTTCGAAACAGAGTATTCAAAAAGGCTCAAAAGCCGGTAGAGGTACCTTGATAAACATAGGAATATACTCCACCCAGACAGTCTACCTACAAGCCCTAGACCTAGTCCCAAACCAAAAAGAAAGATAAACGTGAGTACAGAGAGTGACAAACTAACCAATAACCCTGGGGTCAGCTGTACGACCCAAGGGGACCCCCTGGCCAAAATTTCGACGGTTTCACCTCTAAATGACCTCCAAAAACTTGAAGTAAACCAAAGCACCTCAGAAACCAGTGAAAACGCCCTACGAAAGCCATCAGTTGATGGATCGGAGGAAATGGAGTTCCACTCCACTAATGAAAGTAGTAATACTAATCCCAGCACTCCTGATTTACAGGAGTCTAACATAAAAGAGTATAACACAGTAGAAACTCTTATAAACGTACTGGAAAAGTCAGCTAGCTCCTCATCAGAAGATGATGTAGAAATGAACACTACAGTAGTTCCTAAAACAATTAAAGAATCCGGTGAATTAGATCAGAGCACCTCAAACTTCTACTCTGAATACCAAAGAGAACAAATGCCTAAAAGACCGTTCAAAACGATCGCAATGCCTGCTAATGCAATAGCAAAACCCTTAGATTTCGGAGGAAACACAACAGAAACTGGAAGTGTAGGAGGTACCCAAAAGAGGGATGGATCGAGTAGTTCTTCGGCTGGGTATTACCCTGCACTGACAGTACAACACCCATCAAGCTCCACTAAAATTGCGACAAAAAACGATACCCCTAAATCCCTAGGAGCCATCCCTAAAACCAGGGTAAATGCAGATCCTAGGCTCAATAGAAAAGAGGTACCCAGTAGTGTAACAAATAACATTTTACAATACAGCAGTAACACATCAGAAGAAGAAAACCTAAACGAAAGGGAAAAATTTGATAAGGTCGACAGACAACTACAACTACCACACTCACCCAATAGCCTCTTTGTACGCCGAACAGAAGAAGAAAGAGTAGCATACGAGAGAGAAAGAGACAGAAAAAACACAGAAGAAGAACGGAGAAAAATAGATGAACAATTCACAGTACCGCGAAAATTCAGTTCTAATTTTCATCAAATGATTAGAGAAAAGGCAGTACAAACACTTACAACTACTCAAAACCCCTATCAGGTCTTAACTGACGAGTCTGACACAGATAACGATGACGAGATAGGGAAGATAGTAAAGAAAAGGAAGAAAGGCGCAAAGTTTGTGCCCCTCAACATAAAAGAGACACCCAGAGTACCTCCTCAAAAGCCAACCACCAGTGCAACGAACGCAAGCAACGCAACAATCAATAATAACAACAAAAATGTAAGGGTATCCAAACAAAAATCCACGATGCCGCCTATAGTAATAGACGGCAAGACAGCCAACCCTAACCAGCTAATTGCAGACCTAAAGGCCATAGTACAAGGAGAATTTAGTGTCAAGCACACCAACAGAACTACTATTCTCTTTGTAGAAGGCAAGGACGACTACGAGAAGGTACTCAGCAACGTAAAAAATGAGAAAATGGCTTACCACACGTATACCGCCAGTAGCGACAAATCGCACGCATTTGTGCTTAGAGGCCTGGCAGATAACACAAAAATACAAGATATTAAGGAAGATCTTGAAGAAGATCACGAAATTATTGCGCGAGAAATCTACGCAATGAAAACCAAAGAACGTCCCCTCTTCCTGGTGGTAACAGACCCAGTCATCACTCTGGAGTATCTGAACAAGAACATTAGAAGAATCTTACACACCAGAGTGACCTGGGAAATCAGAAAATCTGTCAAACAAATCATTCAATGCCACACGTGCCAGGAGTGGGGGCATGCAACAGCAAATTGTGGCAAACCTGCACGCTGTGTGAAGTGCGCGGGGGATCACCACACACGCACGTGTGTCAAAACCAGGGACACACCTGCTACGTGTGTTAACTGCGGGGGTGATCACCCCGCGAATTACTCTAAATGTAAGACATACCTAGAACGGCTGTCTAGGATGGACAACAGAGAAAGCTAGTACCGGCCCCTTTACCAGCTGTTAACCACTGGGAGGCCAGAAGAAACAATAATATAAATAATAATGCAAGAAAAAACGAAGAATTTCCAGCACTGGGACAGAGAAACACAAGAATAAATTCAGTAGAGGCCACCAAAGCTGAACCAACAAGAACATCACACCCAAACAATGCAATGAATGAATTCACAGCCCTCAACAAAGAACTGGCTGAACTTAACAGGATGATTAATATAGGTGAGCTAACAAGGGCGATCAGAGCGCTTAACGCTGCACTAAAACTATGCATAAACGGACAACAAATTATCGAGACATACAACGCGTTTATGAGCGACGTTGACAATCAATACAAACTTAGGAACTGAACTTCATTCACAAAACGCACATAAACTCAAAATTTGTTTCTACAATGCACGCGGGATGCGTAACAAAACCGCGCTTGTTCGCAGTTTCATTCATAAACATAGATTTGACATTGTATTCATTACCGAAACATACTACAAAGACACAGACTCGCTCAAAATACAAGAGTACAATGTCATAAGACAAGACAGACAAGGGCAGTTAGGGGGCGGAGTAGCTTTCATTATCAATAATAAGATTTCCTTCACCCAACTAAATAATTTGAACATAACGCAAGAACATTTAATTATTAAAATTAATGAATACATATTTGTAGGAGTATATAACAGCCCAAACAACATTTTTTCCAAAATTGAGTTAAATACCATAATGTCATCGGGTAACAGAGTCCTCCTACTCGGAGATCTAAACTGTAAACATCCGAACTGGGATGCCAACTGTAATATTCACAATAGAAGTGGTAAAAACCTGGACGAATTCGCCGATGACAATGACCTTATCATACATTATCCAGAAGACCCCACGTATTTCCCTTTCCAAAATACCCACAGGCCAAGCACCCTAGATATAGCCGTTGCTAAGAACATTCCAAACATAGACAACACAAGGACCTTCAAAGAACTGACGTCAGATCATGACCCTGTATACTTGGAGATCAAGACAGCACGCTTGATCCCCAGAATACAGGGTCAGTTCTACGACTACAATACAACAAACTGGACAAAATACCGACAAATCCTCGACAAGAACATACAAATTAACAATAACATTACAAATAACAATACTCTTGAGGAAGAATATACTAAGCTTACGAATGCCATAATTAAAGCCAGAAATTTATCTACTAACAAAGTAACGCGAAAACCACATATAGATAATCTTCCTCAAGAGATATTAGATCTAATAACGCACAAAAACCACATCAGACGGCGATGGCAAGCCCACAGACAAGATGCGGATAGGGTCAATATGATACAAATAGGTAAGCACATCAATGCTGAAATAAATGACTTCCGCAATAGTACGTGGAAAAAGACCCTAGAAGCTATCAATATTCATGACAATTCAGTGTGGAAAATGGTGAGGAGGTTTAGAAAACCTTTCTCGCAACTTCCCACACTGAGACATAATAACAACGATTACGTAACGGACGTCCAGAAAGGAAATGCGTTCGGTGAATTCTTCCAGGGAAATTTTATTAATACACAGCAAAATGACCAAGAACAAAACGATATCCAAAATATCACTAAAGACATAAGCAATATGTCAACACAAGCTATCCCTCCACACGCGCTAACAAACCCCTCCGAAGTACGAGAAATAATCAAAAGATCTCCCAGTAAGAGGGCTCCAGGACCTGATGACATTCACAACAAATTAATTAAAAACATAACAAAAAAGGCCATTGTACAATTACATAATTTAATAAATGCAGTGCTCAAACTCCAGTATTATCCTGCAGCCCTGAAAGTTGCGAATATTATCCCGATTTTAAAACCTCAAAAAAGTAAAAACCAACTTGAAAGCTACCGCCCCATTTCTCTCCTAAATGGACTAGCGAAAATAACGGACAAAGTCATACTAAAACGAATTCAAACCTACGAACAAGACAATCAAATTATTCCGTCAGAACAGTACGGGTTTAGGGCCGGTCACAGCACAGTAGCCCAAGTTATACGCATTGCTCATCAAGCTAAAAAGGGGTTCAACCTAAATCAACAGACTGTACTTGTGGCGCTGGATGCTGCAAAGGCCTTTGACACTGTATGGACTGACGGATTAATCCACAAAATGTTTATGAATGATTACCCTGTGTACATTGTAAAAACAATACAAACATACCTACATAACAGACAATTTTTTATCAAAATAAATAACACTAGAACAGGACCATACACGGCTATGGCGGGAGTACCCCAAGGTTCAGTACTGGCGCCGCACCTGTATACCATCATGACCCATGACATGCCAATGGGACATAATGGTATACAGACGGCGTTGTACGCCGACGACACCTGTGTTTACAAGTCATCCCAATCAGCAGAAATCGCGAACAGAAGACTGGACATCCACGTCAACAGAGTGTTAGTCCCCTATTTCAATAAAAATAAAATTAAAATAAACCCTAATAAGACTGAGAGCATGTCCTTATCACATAGAAACACCGAACACATAATCAACAAATTAAAAGTTCAAGGTCAAACAATTGAGGCCAAAGATACATTAAAATATCTAGGTATAATATTGGATAGGAGACTAACATTCGGACAACATATAAACGATAGGGTTGCAAAAACCAAGGGTGCCATTAAAATACTTTACCCGCTTCTGCACAGAAGAAGCGGAGTCACGATCAACAACAAACTACTCTTGTATAAGCAAGTTATGCGCCCTATCCTTATATACGGAGGTCCTGTCTTCTGTTCTATGGCTGAAAGTCACTACAACAAACTGCAAAGAATTCAGAATAGGTGTCTGAGGTTAGCTCTGGGGTATAACCGCTATGCCAGAATTAACGACATGCACATGCAAACATCCATGGAAACTGTTAAAGCACATATTCTCCGAATATCTAACAAATTCTATGAAAATTGCCTGCCTAACTACCTCAAGGAGGATATAATGACAATCCACGAAGGAGATAGTGCAAACAGGAAACATGGATGTTTGCATAAAGCCCTCACAATATACAGACAAGACTAACACAGCCCTCAGCTGACGATAGGACGTGGACTGGGCGCTGCTACTAACTGACTCACAGCAGCGAGAATTACACTGAATAGTCAAATCTCGAAGCCGACTAGCTATCAACTCTGGTCGGACGGAAGACTGCACTGTGACGTCACTGTTCAATACAGAAATTGCGGCCAATGCTACAATGTCGGTAATGAATAGGGATTGCACAGTGTAGCCTGTAGATTTGGCTTTCTCACGTACAAAGACTAACTTGAGACAAACACACACACAAGGACAACCCTGTTTTTTTACGGTTTTTCAGGGAAGACACTCACAAGTAAAATCATACAAAAACTCATCAATTTTCAACTATCGCTCTTGCTAGCCCGCACAAAAGGCATATGATATTGTATACAATAAGGAGATGCTTAGATATAAACCAATTAAGAAAAATAGTACATAAATGCAGACCAGAACATCGGTGCCTCTAGGAGGAAGATAGGCAGGAACACTTCTATTTCACAGACGGAAGTACCCCTATTGTTAATATAAATGTATTTATATATTATTTGAAATGTAGATATTGTAAATAGTAATAAAGAATTTTGAAAGTAAAAGTAAGAGCTTCGATTTTTGTATTAGGCGGTGGTGATGCTGTGTAGTCTTGTAATTTGAACATTCATGCACTAAACTTCCAATTAAATTCATACAAAAACCCACCACTTTCCCATTACCGATCTAGTAAGAATGCCAATATTAACTTATAATATCGTGATACGATAAGGAGAAGTTACTAATCCACAAATATTTAATAGCAACAATGATTTGCACGGCCTTGACATCGGCCATGGTCTAACTCTGTTTTAGGGCATCATAGAAGTGAACACTTTCAGAAGTCTTTAGGAAGAAATCCTTTTATAATAATGTAAATAATTGTGTTATAAAAACTCTGCATCTGTATATATTGTAAATAAAGTTATTTTGAAAACAACAACCCAGAACAACATCGAATAGAAAACCTAGTTAAAAACAGATACAACAATTCAACACCTATGGCCATCAGCCAAGGGGATCTTACCTCCCCAAAAGAAATATTCGACATACTGTGTGGGCTAACCAGAAAGAAGGCCCCCGGCCCCGATGGTATCAGTAATATTTTACTAAATACTGTTAAATGGCTTAGCCAAAATTGCCGATCGTGTCTTATTAACTCGACTACATACAGAGTTTACCTTTGGACTTGCCAAAGGAAGGTTTGCCGAAATTTTGTACAGCTCTCGTAGTACGAATTTACGACACCAGGTTATTAACCTATAAAATATCAAATTTCCCTTAATAATCGCTCGAACAAGCCAGGTAGTATAGTTATCAACCCCCAGAAAGGAGTTCACGCTCCATGGTAGAGCCCTCCGGGGCAAGCAAACAAAATTTAGCGGAATATCCCACCATATACTCCAAAAGATAGCGAATTAGATGGAAACACACAGAAGCTCTAAGGAACATCTCTAAAATACAAACTCCAGAGCATATAAAAGCCAAAACCAGAAGACAGATCAATCTCACAGTAAGTAAAGCTACTTTAGTGGGACTAACATCCATAAACTCTGAACTGAGTAGCCCTGAACTCGGTGAATCTTCATCCCAATCTTCAAATAATGCTGCAAAGATAGACACAAATGCACCAGACATTGGCACTAGGACATCCACTGACTGTAATCCAACTTCCATTACTAATACTGACATTCCAGCCACAGTGCAACATAAAATAAACAATTTCCACACTGATTACACAACATCTGAAGATGAAAGGGGTGCAAGAGGACATCTTCCAGTAGGTGATTGGTACCTACCCACTTCGCCTAACAGCTCATGGAATCTGAGGGAAAATTCTAAGCAAACCCAAAACATGGAAATAGATAAACCTCAAGAACAAAATAAACAACACGACCTGCCTTTTCAAACGCCCAGGAAATTCAGTTCGAATTTTCAAAGGCTAATCAGAGAAAAAACCAAGCAGACAATGACCTCCACCAGTAACAAGTACTTACCACTCTCTGATGAGTCAGATTCCGACCTAGATGACGAGATCGGTAAAATAGTGAAGAGGAAAAGGAAAAACACGCCGAAAGACGGCAACACAGCCAGTAAAAACTCAGAAAACCAGCCAACACAAACCACAGCCCCAGCAACTACCAAAAAGGCCCCACAAAATAAAACTACCCCAGCCAACAACCCGAAAAAACCAACAATGCCCCCAATTGTTGTGGATGGGAAAACCGTCAATCAGTCTGCGCTGATACAAGATCTAAAAGCAAAAGTTAAGGGTAGTTTTAGCGTAAAACACACTAATAATTCTACAATTCTATTCGTAGACGAAAAGGACGATCATCTACGAGTTTTACAGAGCGTGAGAGAAGAAAACATCTCACATCATACCTACACTATTAACGATGACAAGTCTCACGCTTTTGTATTGAGAGGGTTAGCAGATGGAACCAAAATTCAGGATATAGAGGAAGATCTAATCGCTGAGTATGACATAAAAATTAGAAATATATTCCGAATGAATACCAAAAATAGACCACTGTTCCTCATAGTCACAGATCCGTCCTTGACACTGGATTATCTGAACAAAAATGCAAGGAGGGTCCTGTATACCCGTGTTATATGGGAACTTCGCAAGTCAACAAAGCAGATAATCCAGTGCCATAATTGTCAATTATGGGGACATGCAACTACAAATTGTGGAAGACCACCCCGTTGCCTAAAGTGCGCTGGTGACCATCTAACGAGGGTATGCACAAAAACTAGAGAGACCGCAGCCAAATGTGCAAACTGCGGTCAAGACCACCCAGCCAATTATAGTAAATGTAGAGCATACACTGAAAGAATAGACAGGCTTCAAGAAAAAAGAGTTACTTCCCAACAGAAACCGAAATACACCCCTGCACCGACCCCCACAGTAAGTGTATGGGACCGTCGGAGACCTAACCCACCCCCGAAAGAGGATTTCCCAGCCCTACCGGGCAATAGAATCACGAAAAACCACTCAGAACAAACCACCAATAAGAACAACATACCATCAGTTAGCCACGCCCCAATTTTGAGAAATGCTCCAATTAATGATATCCAAGCCCTGAATACAGAATTCCAAAAGCTAGGTAAATTAGTTAATGTTGGTGAGCTCATTAGAGCTGTTCGCGAGCTAAATAACAGACTATCTAACTGCAATTCAAATGCAGATTGCTTCATAATATACTATGAATTCGTTTCTGAACTTGACAACTACAATTTCATGAACTGAACTACACGGCGGCAAATTAGACACTCTTAAGATATGTTTTTACAATCTAAACGGGATGCTTGGTAAGATTCCTATGGTAAGCAGTTTCATTCACAAACATAGGTTTGATATTCTACTTATTTCAGAGACACGCCTTAAACCCGCCCACAAACTAAAAATCAAAGACTATCACGTAATTCGACATGACAAGCTAAATTCCAGAGGTGGGGGGATAGCTTTCATTATCAAAAGTAATCTAAAACACGAACAATTATCCAATTTAGATATTGAATTTGAACACTTAAGAATAAAAATTAATAATCTCATTTTAATAGGCGCGTATAATCATCCACATAATAACATAACAGCACTCGAGCTGCATACCGTGATGTCCTCAGGTAACAGAGTTCTCCTGATGGGTGATCTCAACGCCAAGCACCCCCACTGGGATGCAAATTTCATACGTCCCAATCACAGCGGGAGAATTTTGGACGGGTTCGCCGAAACGAATGATCTCATAATACATTACACAGACGAACCGACACACTACCCTTACAGTGGCATGACTCCGAGCACACTCGACATTGCCGTGGCCAAAAACTTACCAAATATACACAACATAACTACCATCAAAACACTAACCTCCGACCACGACCCTGTGTATCTTGAAATTAAAACCAATCATAAAATTCCAAGAACACAGGGAAAATATCTAGACTACAAGAACACAGACTGGAAACTTTACAGACAAACGCTAGACAAAAACATTGTAATTAACAACAACATACAAGACGACAATACACTGGACAACGAAATACAAATACTAACAACTGCAATAATTAAGGCAAGAGATGCCTCAACAAAAACTAAAACAATTGGACCTTACAGAGATGACTTGCCACAAAACATCCTTGACCTAATTAGCAATAAAAACTACATACGACGAAGATGGCAACAACACAGACAAAACGACGACAGGATTAGACTACATGACATTGGGAAACACGTAAATAAATTAATTAGTGAACATAGGAATTTAATATGGAGAAAAACCCTTGAGAACATAAACCCACTAGACAACTCATTGTGGAAAGTTGCGAATAGTTTTACTAAGCCTCGATCGCGGCTTTCTACACTGAAGTACGACGACAAAGTGTGCTCTACTGACATACAAAAGGGAGAAGCGTTCGGCGAACTCTTCCAAAAAATATTTGATAATAACACCCCAAACAGTATAGCCCAACAGGAAATCGAAAACCACGTACTTGACATCCAAAACATGGATCGGGAATACATATCCGGCAATAAACTCTCTACCCCCCAAGAAATTAGGGAAGTGGTGAAGAGATTACACAACAGGAGGGCTCCGGGGCCTGACGGTATCAACAACAACTTAATTAAAAACTTCACACGGAAAGCATACGTGCAGCTAAACCATATTACTAATGCTGTATTAAAACTGCAATACTACCCTCAAAAATTCAAACTAGCTAATGTGATTCCCATATTAAAACAAGGCAAAAACGCCAGGGTTGTGGAGAGCTATCGCCCTATCTCTCTACTTAACGGCATTGCCAAAATAATTGACCGCATAATACAGACTACATACGCACGAAATAGAAAACCCGATTATACCGTCGGAACAGTACGGGTTCAGGGCTGGTCACAGCACTGTGGCACAAGTAATTAGGATTGTCAACCATGCCAAGAAAGCATTCAATAATAAACAACAGACGGTACTTGTGGCACTAGATGCTGCAAAAGCCTTCGACACGGTCTGGACCGACGGTCTAATCTATAAAATGTTTGTGAAGGATTACCCTGTGTACCTTGTAAAAACAATCTTAAGCTACTTACAGAACCGAACATTCAATATTAAAATAAACGAAACAATTACAGGACCATACACTGCCAGAGCGAGAGTACCTCAGGGTTCGGTACTCTCGCCCCACCTGTATACCATCATGACCCATGATATACCCATGGGACTTAATGGTATACAGACGGCGTTGTATGCTGATGACACCTGCATATTCAAATCCTCGAATTCGGCAGAAATAGCCATGAGGAGACTGGAGATTCATATTAACAGAACGATAGTCCCTTATCTAGACGTAAATAAAATCAAAATAAACCCTCAAAAAACCGACACGGTACTACTTTCCAAAATGAGAACAAACAACATAATCACAGAGCTGAAGGTTCAGCAAAATATTATCCCAACGGCTAAATCAATAAAATATCTGGGAGTTACTCTAGACAAGGGACTAACGTTCAAAGACCACGTGAAAGAACGAGCTAGCAAAGCTACGGCTATGCTATGCATACTGTATCCTATGCTGCATAGACGTAGTGGAGCTACCCGTGAAAATAAATTGTTACTATATAAACAAATCATCAGACCGATATTAACGTATGGATCTCCAGTCTACTGCTCAATATCGGGAAATCACATCCAAAAACTCCAAAGAGTACAAAACAGGTGTCTTCGGCTGGCCTTGGGGTACGACCGCTATGCCAGAATTACGGACATGCACATTGAAACATCCATGCCCACTGTCAAAGAGTACATAGCCGCGACTGCTGAGAAATTCTACACCCACTGTCTTCCCGATTACCTCAAGGAAGACATCCTCACTCAGCATAGCGGAAATGCCGAAGACAGGAGGCATGGATGCATACACGAGAACTTGGACCTTTACACACGGGACAATTAACAGACATACGCTACAACACCCTTCCCACTGCGACAAACATACTAAATAATTATTTTACTAGGACAAGTACTGAAACAAACTAGTCCGACGGAAGACTGAACGATGACGTCACTCCCCGCCGAGGAAATCGAGGCCAGTTTACCTAGAACTATCCTAGGAAGCAGTTGAGCGAACCCACGCTACTTTGAGTAATTTTAGTGACTGACAGCTGTCAAACAAACGATTTTCTTTGAATATATCATTGTTAACCACACGCCAGAGTAAGTAATCCCAGTACAAGGGAAATCGGTAAATGTCCGAGCCCGGAAGGGCACCTCAAGTACCCTCAGGGGGTTTTCAAACATTATACTCTAAACGTCTGAAAGCCAAACTTTACAACCCGGATGCTTTGAAGAGAATAGCTTCCCCCACAACATTTAAATCGCCCAAACCAGTCAAAACTAAACTAAGGACACAACTGGAACAAGCAAACGTGAGTACAGATTCATCTAATGCACCCATACTAACTCTTGATAACAACGGGGTCAGTGACACAATACAGGAGAAACTCCCGGTCAAAAATATTTTGCAACGACCTTCAAGCGACCGTCAAAGTGTTGGTGAGGCGGCAAAGCCGGTAAAAGACCCTGAGGAAGGGGATAACCCACGAAAAGCTTCGGTGGCGGGCTCAGATGAGTCTCAGGAATACTACGATAGCCAGGAGGACAGTGCTAATAGTATAAATAGCAAAGAATACGACGAATCTGTAAAAAAATTAATTAACGACTTAGAAAAATCCGATGAGTCAATAAACACCAGTTCAGACAGTTCAAAAATGGACACTACTGTGGTAGACACAGAAAACACCAAAAGAGAGCCGGGAGAAAAATCCCCAGACCAATTTGTCTCCTCCTACGTTACCACCAACACCGGAGAGCAGTACAAAACACTAAGTCTACCTGATAATGTCATTACTAATCTACTAGACTTCAATACTAATGATCTCAATGCTCATGCTAGTCAGAACACCCTCACACCAACAGGAGGTGCGGGATTAGCCCAAAGTGATGGTGGATTGAGTAGCTTTCGCTTTGGGTACAATCCTGCACCCCCTATCCCAATCCTAGGAGCAACAATTAATATCAATGAGGTACAATTAAAAAATCAAGGAGCCGTTAAGAAAAACACGGACCCGAGATTAAGACCGGAAACAAGGAGAGGAGTTCCGAACACAGTCAACGCCAGTATACTTGGATATGAATCTAGTATCACGTCAGAGGACGATCATGCTAGAAATGACCCTTACAGAAATCTACCGCACTCTCCAAACAGCCTGTTTGAATTCAGGAACAGTGCGGAGAGAGAAAAGTATGAGCAAGAGCGGAGAGACATTAAAGCTGTCAAAGCTGCAAGTATTGAGCAACCATTCATCGCTCCAAGGAAGTTCTCTTCCAACTTCCAGAAACTCATCAGAGAAAAGACTAAGAGTACAATTAATACCCAGAATAAATATGCACCACTAACGGATGAATCTGAAGAAGATATTGGAGATGATGAAATAATGAAAATAGTAAAGAAAATAAAGAAAACCAAATTCAGGCCCTTGGAAGTGAATGAACAACCCTCAACCTCAACACCCACGATAAACAAAACAAACCCAATAGTGACCAACAACCAAAATAAAAACACTAAAACTGCAAAAAAAACTATGCCACCGATTGTCATAGATGGCAAAACTAAAGATCAGACAACCCTCATAAGAGATTTAAAGGAGTATGTTAAAGGCCAATTTAGTATAAAACACACTAATGCAACAACAATAATATTCGTTGAAGACAAGGAAGATCATGCCAGAGTCATCAACAATATTAAAACTGAAAAACTTGCATACCATACATATACTTCCAGCGACGATAAGTCCCACGCCTTTGTCCTGCGTGGGCTTGCAGACGGTACTAAGACTACAGACATAGAAATAGATCTCGAAGAACAGCATGAAATTAAGGCGAGGAACATATTCCAGATGAACACTAAGGACAGACCCCTATTTCTGGTGGTGACGGACCCAGCAATTACCCTCGAATATCTAAACAAAAACACCAGGATTGTACTACACACGAGGGTAACATGAGAGCTGAGGAAATCTGCCAAGCCCATTATACAATGTCACAACTGCCAGCAGTGGGGGCATGCAACGTCCAATTGTGGTAGGCCGTCGAAATGCGTCAAGTGTGCGGGTGATCACCACACCCGTACATGCCTGAAAACGAGAGATACACCGGCGATTTGTGTGAACGACGGCCTAGACCGCAAATGAAATATGTTCCCGCCCCCAAACCAAAAATCAACCAATGGGAAGCCAGGAAAAATGCTAGAGGTATAAATACCGAGTTCCCAGCCCTGCCTACCAGACAAACCGAAACAACTCAAGACCAGAAGGTGCAGATTGAAAGAAAAAACACCGTAAATTCAAACTCGAATATGAATGACTTCTCTGCGTTGAATCAGGAATTCAACACCCTAAACAGGTTAGTCAATATTGGCGAACTCACTAGAGCAATTAGAGCACTGAATGCTAAACTTATTAACTGTAACTCGGGTCAGGAAATTATTGAGACGTATAATGCATTCATGAGCAACGTAGACAGTAACTTCAATCTTAGGAACTGAACTTAATTCTAGAGACAAACAAAAACTTAAAATCTGTTTTTATAATGCAAATGGGATGCGGAACAAGACAGCTCTTGTACGCAATTTCATTCATAAACATAACTTTGACATCGTATTCATCACTGAGACGCACTATAACGCTACACACAAAATCAAACTACATGGGTACGATACCACAAGACATGACAGACAAGATCAGTCATGGGGAGGTGTCGCTTTCTTTATCAAATCTAATTTACCACACGAACAATTAAGTGATCTTGACATTCCGCAAGAACATATCAGAATTAAAATTAATAACTTAATATTTGTAGGGGTTTACAATCCCCCTCAACAACAATTCAGGAAAATAGAAATAAATAAAATTATGTCGTCAGGGAATAGAGTCCTTTTATTGGGTGATTTAAATTCAAAACACCCCCATTGGGACTCTAATTGCATTGTGCCCAACCAAAGCGGCCGAAACTTGAACGAATTCGCCGAAAGCAACGACATCATCATCCACTATCCTGAGGAACCCACCTACTTCCCTTCCAACCCTCTTTTCCGTCCTAGCACCCTCGACATTGCGGCTGCCAAAAACATACCTAATATTGAAAACACAAGGACAATAACAACACTCACATCGGATCACGACCCTGTATATTTGGAAATAAGGACCTCAATCCGGATTCCAGGTACACAGGGACGTTTTCACGACTACAACACTACGGACTGGACCAAATACAGAAAGACATTAGACAGAAACGTTACAATCAATAACAACATTACTGACAAGAATACTCTTGAGGAAGAATTAAACAGCATCACCAAGGCTATCCTAACAGCCAGGAATGAATCCACTAAGGTAGTAACCATTAAACCATATAAAGATAATCTTCCTCAAGAGATATTAGACCTCATCAAGAATAAAAATCTAATAAGACGACGATGGCAGTCGCACAGACAAGAAGCTGACAGGGTTTTGCTACAAACACTCGGTAAAGCTATAAATAGAGAAATACATGAACATAGAAATAAAAAATGGCGTGAAACCCTGGAAGCGATTAACACTCAAGACAATTCAGTGTGGAAAATGGTGAGACGGTTTAGAAAGCCGTTCTCTTCACTTCCCACACTGAAACAAAATGACAATACTTACGTAACAGACGAACAGAAATGTACAGCTTTCGGCGAATTTTTTCAGGAAAACTTTAAAAATGATCAAGTCAATAACGCCGAGCAAGAAGACATAGAACAAATCGTACAGGAAATAAAAAATATCCCAATACAAAATGTTTCTCCTGAACATTTAACAACCCCCACAGAAATTATAAATATTGTTAAACGGTCACCCAGTAAGAGGGCTCCAGGACCTGACGATATACATAACAAACTCCTAACAAATTTATCAAAAAAATGTTATATCCAAATACATTATATTATAAATGCTATAATTAAATTACAATGGTATCCGGACGCATTAAAAGTTGCTAATGTCGTTCCTATACACAAGCACGGTAAAAGTAGATGTGATATTGGAAGCTACCGCCCCATATCTCTTCTTAACGGCATTGCCAAAATTACAGATCGTGTCCTGCTCACGAGATTACACACTTACGAACAGGACAAACCAATTATTCCATCGGAACAGTATGGTTTCAAAGCTGGCCACAGTACGATTACGCAAGTGCTTCGTATTGCCGATCATGCCAAAAAGGCTTTTAACGAACATAAGCAAACGGTACTTGTTGCTCTCGATGCTGCAAAGGCGTTTGACACCGTCTGGACCGATGGTTTAATCCACAAAATGTTTATGAATGATTACCCTGTTTTCATTGTAAAAACAATTCAAACTTACTTACATAACAGAAAATTCTACGTTAAAATCAATAGCTCGAGACAAGGACCATACACTGCGCATGCGGGAGTACCACAAGGTTCGGTACTTGCGCCGCATCTGTACACCATTATGACTCATGATTTTCCCATGGGAACTAATGGTATACAGACGGCCTTGTATGCCGACGACACCTGTATGTATAAAACTTCACAATCTGCTGAAATTGCAACCAGAAGGCTGGACATCCATGTAAATAGAACGGTCTTACCTTACTTTAAACAAAATAAAATTAATATCAACCCCTCAAAAACAGAGAGTCTGCTAATGTCCCACAGAACAACGGAGGGCATAATCACAAAACTAAAAATTAACGAACAAATAGTAAGCACTGGTAATAAGATGAAATATCTTGGCTTCATCCTTGATAAAAGGCTCTCTTTCGGCCCACATATTACAGATAGAGTCGCCAAAACTGTAGGAGTAATTAAAACACTCTACCCCCTGCTTCACAGGAGGAGTGGAGTAACTACTGTAAACAAACTGTTAATCTACAAACAAGTAATAAGGCCGATCTTACTATACGGAAGTCCAGTCTTCTGCTCTATGTCCAACACTAATTTTTACAAAATGCAAATCCAGCAAAACAAGTGTCTTCGACTGGCATTGGGGTACGACCGATATGCCAGAATTCGAGATATGCATGAGCAAACATCTATGGAAACCATTAAAACTCATATCCTTAGACTCTCTGAGAATTTCTATGCTAAATGTTTACCCCCAGATATTAAAGCAGACATAATGTCAATCCACCAAGGGGACGGTGTTAATAGAATCCATGGGTGTTTGCACAAAGCACTCAAGATCTATACGAGAGACGGATAATGAAAATATAAAATCAAACGATAGACATACATCCTTCCTAGCAGCGTAAACCCCACTGAACACTCAAATCACAACACCGACTAGTTAGCAACTTTGGTCGGACGGTAGACTGCACGGTGACGTCATCGCCTGATTTCGTGGCTCGCTGCGATGCACCACCCAGCAAATTTCTCAAGATGCAGTGCATATCTGGAGAGAATTGCAAGAATTGATGATCGTAAACAAGCAAATAATGCACAGAAAAAGAAATACATACCAGCACCAGCACCAAAGAGGAACATGTGGGACAAGAATAATAGAGAGGCCAAAAACAGAGAATACAATGAAGAGTTTCCGCTCCTTCCAGGAAACAGAGCGCAACAAAGCAACACACAGCAGGCAAGACGGCAAAATTCCAACCAAAATACCAATGAAAACACACAAGGAGGTATGGACGACGTTTTTGCGCTGAATCGTGAAATGCAGGAGTTGAATTCACTTGTCAATATTTCAGAATTAACTAGAGCGGTAAGAGATCTTAATTCAAAGCTAAGAGAATGCCGCAGTGAAGCAGAAATCTTTCTAACGTATAATAATTTCGTAACAAACCTCAACTCATACTCTTTTAAGAATTAAATTCACTGCGGTATACAAGGACAAATACAAAATCTGTTTTTACAATGTAAACGGGCTGCTCAACAAGATACATCTTGTACGCAACTTCATTTATAAACATAAATTTGACATCATAATACTATCAGAGACAAGATTAAAACTCAACCACAAAATAAAAGTGCGCGACTATGACATCTACAGACAAGACAGACCTAACTCAACAGGTGGGGGAGTAGCTTTCATTATAAGGAGTAATATAACACACACATTAGCCGCTAATGTAAATACCACAGTAGAGCATGTTATAGTAAATTCAGGGGGGTTCACATTTATAGGGGCCTACAATAAACCCACTAATAAAATCGGGATGGTTGACTTACATAACCTAATGTCGGCAGGAAACAGGGTTGTCCTGATGGGGGACCTAAATTGCAAACACGAGCTATGGGACGCGAATTGTAGACAGAGCAATGCAAGTGGGAGAAACCTCAATAGCTACGCAGATAACAACGACGCGGTTATACATTACACAGAGGAACCCACTTTCTTCCCCTTTAATGGAATGACACCAAGTACGCTAGATATAGCAGTGACAAAAAATATAGACAGTGTAGAAAACATCAGGACAATACAGACGCTCAGTTCGGACCACGACCCGGTATATTTAGAAATCAAAACCACACAAAACATCACTAGACAAACGAGAGAATACTATGACTATAAAACTACGAACTGGGCTGAATTTAGGAAAATACTAGACAGAGACACTAAAATCAACAATAACATTAACACAAGGACAGAACTGGACAAGGAAATCGACATATTGACAGCAAACATTTGTAGGGCTAGGGATGTCACAACGGTCTCGAAACGTCTAAAAACCCATCACGAAAAATTAAATGATGATATAGAGGAAATGATCGCAAATAAAAATCGAATTCGGAAAAGATGGCAAAGATTCAGAGACGGAGACGATAGAATCAGACTGTGGGACATCGCTAGAGCTATAAATGTAGCTGTAGGGGAACTCAGAAACAAAAAATGGGGAGACACACTCAGGGGACTCAATACACAAGACAACTCGGTGTGGAAAATTGCGAAACGGTTTCGTAAACCCTTTACGCAGCTTCCCACACTCGAGGACAATAACAACACACAATACATAACAGAAATCCAAAAAGGGGAAGCATTTGGGGAATATTTCAAAAATAACTTCAGAAACAATCAACAAAACAATATACAACAAAACTTAATTGAAGACACGGTGAATGATATTAGGCTCCTCCCACCGCAAGAATTCCCTGCCAATCAGAGAATAACGCC